GGGAGAGAGAGAGAAATTGTTCTTCATCAGGCAAGGGCTCAAAGTCTCCTTGACAAGTCCAGAGTCTTGACAAGTTCAGAGTCTTGTCAACTCTTGCTCAAACTCTGGCTAGAACTCGGGAAGATGGAAACCAAAGTGTTGAGGGGGCTCCGACTTTATGAACCATATTCTTCCACGCACCCTGGGTAAAAAGGGCCACTTATTGACGGGAAGGCAGCAGGAACCATCTAGATGTGCAACACTTCGCAAATCTCTTATAGAAGACCTTTATACTAGGAGTCATCAGGCTACATCTCTCCTGGGTGACAGTTTGCAGGTCTCCTCCAGGTTTCCAGCGGGCCTAGAGACTAGGTGGCATTAAATCTTTCTTGCAACCCGGGCCAACTCAGAGCAGAAGGCCTAATTCTCCGTGATGGAAAGGACTCGCGAGGCTTTTCCACCCAAGGCTGGTAGAGGGAGGGAGATGACTGGGCGTGGCTGTCTCGAAGCTACCGGAAATGCATCTTTCTTTTTCCGGCTGGACTTCCATCCGCAGCCCTCCACCCGCAGCCCTCCACCCAAGATTGGCAAGTTGGGTCTTAGCGAGGTGGAAGGTTCAGGAGGGGGACTGACCTTTTGAGGCCCCTGCGTTCCCGAAACCCCAGCGCTTGCACTCGGTAAGCATCGCGCGCTTTTCCTGACATCGCCTCTGCGAGTGACTTGGGAGCGGAGTATCGCTCCGTAGGGCAGTGGGGAGGCGTGGTGAATTTATAATCGAGTTGAGGAAAAGGCCAGTGGCCTCCAAAGAAGCCAGGATTCTCGGAGGTAACCGAGAAGCTGATTTTACCTTTCTGTTCGGTCGGGGAGCCTCAGAGTGACACCGCTGCTCCTGCTAGTTACAGCCTTTGGAGCCGCTGGAGTGGCGGGGAGTGGGGGCGGGGCATAAGGCGCAGCTTTTTTTTTCAGTAGGCGGTGGCATTGTTGCTAGGCAGCAGGTTGACAAGAAAGCGGGCAGGACCTGTTCTCTGCGAGGCCCAAAGGCCACTTGTAACTTGCAGAAGCAGCTTCTTTGTACATTTTGTGCAAATGCATATAAATGGTGGAGCATACTCGTGGGCTGCGGGCATGCCTAGTGATTGGGGGCGTACCTGTGGCCTAGAAATTGTGGTGGGACTGAGGCGGTAACATTCACCACTGCTAAATGTGTCGATATCCACTGGCTTATGATCATAACACTGGAGAAGGGGTCATTCCAGCTTCTGCTGACACAGAAATCTGGGATGTGTCCCTTGTCTCTTGAGCCTGGATGGACAGCAAGGAGCCAACCATTTCTTTGAATATCCATGGCATCCCCCCAAAATTTTGTGACTGTTTCTGTGGATCACACGAGGGAGAATCAGGCTGTGAAGGCTATCTCAGCTTTGACGATTCGTGTAAAGTCCTCTCTTGAGAAAATGTAAGGAGAAGAGTTACGCTTACTCAGTCCCTTCTTGTCCATAAGAACCGTAATCATCACCATCTCTCTTTTTTTCTCAACATTTGGAATTCTTATAAACAAAGGCCAACTGTAAGTTTTTTCCAGTTAAAATAAACAAAGAATTTAAAATGCAGGTACAAATTTGTGCAATGCCCTTATCAGTCTTCCAAAAGAAGTGCACCCACCATCAAGTGCTGATGATCATATTGCCTAGTGGGAGGAAATTTGCTGAGAGCAATATTGTTATTTTTTTCCTTAATTTTGTCTCTGATCTTGTGATGTCCCAGTTTTTCTACTAGTATTAATACAATGGAAATGAGAATATCAGATGGTCCGTGAAGTAATGGCTTTAATCTTCATGAGAGGATGAAGCGACATCGAAGTTATTTTTCTACTGACTAATGGCTAAAGACATGGATGATCTGTTAAAATTTAGAGAAACTCAAATATGCCCTATTTGTGAAGATCAGATAGCAAACACAAGTTAAGTACTAGATCTCTCAAACTTTTTTCCCCACCAACTTTTCCTAAGCTGCTAAGACAAAGGTGGCTGGGGGGATATAAGGCATAATTGGACATTTGTCCTCTATAAATTGTGCTTTGCTTCAAAATTGAGTAACAAAGAAAAGGAGAGCAACATACCTCCTTAAATAATCTATCATAGTGAGTGTCCTAATACTTGGCGGTTTATTTTTTAATTAAATTTATTTATTTATTTATTTATTTATTTATTTATTTATTTATGTTTGGTTTTTTGAACCAGGGTCTCACTGTTTAGTTCAGGCTGGCTTTGAACTCACTATATACTCCAGGCTGGCTTCAGACTTGTGGTAATCCTCCTGCCTCAGCCTCCTAAATGCTGGCAGTTAGTTTTAAAGGGGAAGTAAGGCAGACACTTCTCTCTTCATTTAATATGTGCCATATGACTTTCTCCTTGACATGTACTTTCCTTTTCTCCTCTCCCTTAGTGCTCTTGGAAAGAAGATCCATTCACTGGTTTTGTAGCAAACCTAATGGGGCTTCAATTGTCACAGGTGGCACCAATGGGGTGTCAGTGTCACATGCAGGAGTAAAACTGTTGCTAGACAAAATGATGACCAGTGAGTTGAAGGAGGATGCATGTTTGAAACCCCACATGGGGGCTGTTTGGGAGACTAATGGATCTGTGAAAGACAGCTCCAGTCAGAGTAAGCAAAACAGCCTACAAATAAAACATCTTTGTCCTGAGAGTGCTCGCCAGCACTTCCGGAGCTTCTGTTTTCGTGAAGCACCTGGACCGCTAGAGGCTGTCAGTCAACTTCAGGAATTATGCCATCAGTGGCTGAGGCCAGAGATCCACTCAAAAGAGCAGATCTTGGAACTGCTGGTGCTAGAGCAGTTCCTGACCATTCTGCCCAGGGAGATCCAGAACTGGGTGCAGAAGCATCATCCACAGAACATCAGACAGGCTGTGGTCCTGGTAGAATGCTTGCAGAGAGAATCGGGTGGAACAAAGAATGAGGTGAGAAGAAAGATTCCTTATACGGTATGTACAATGAAATAGTATAGGGGTAGATATGTCTGGGTGGGGCCTTATCAGGGAATGAGATGCATTAAGTCACATTTCTCTTGCTCTGCTAGGAGAGCCAGGCAGGATCTGAAATCACAGTCGTGCAGCAAATAGTCCACAGGTTTCAGAATTGCTGGTAGAGTCTTTCCTAGCTTTAGAGGGGGGAAAAGTGCATTTTCCCCCTCTTTAGGGTCGGGATGAATTGACAGTGGTGGGCCTAGTCTGGCATGGATAAGGAGACAAGACCTGAGTTCTGAGGAACAGAAATAAAAGAGAAGAAGGAGTTGGAAAGTGGGAAAGGTTTCAAAAGCTGGATGGTGCTTACAGAGACCAAAGAAAAGTGAGGGTAGCAAACAGAAGTATAAATCAAACAACTCTGGGTAGACTGCAAAGGAAGAGAAGAAATGAAAACAAAAAGGGAAACAATGATATGCACAGAAGGGAATGCCAACACACGAATGGAGGGAATCAGGATGCTGGGAGCTTGTATCTTCTATAGCAGGAGCACAGGCCTTTGGGTTGGGAGAAAAAGCCTCCACTGCCCTCACATAGAGGGAGCGCCTGTCCTTGGCACTGCTAGTGACTGGGGAACCAACGTAGGCCATTGGGAGATGGCAGCATCCTACCTCTCCTCAGCAGCCCACCTTGCCACCTTGAAGATAAGGCAGAGCATATTTTTGGTGTCTTGCTGCAAACAAGTCATCCTCTTTCCCCATAACATCCTTTCTTGGCTATAAAAAGGTTGAAAAATCTGGTTGACAGGAAAACTTAAATTTAATTCCCTATCTTTTAGAGAAAATTCAAAGACAAAAATCCACTAAGGCAGGGATCCAAGTCAAGAAAGCAAGCCAAGAAAAGCAGTGTGAGAATAGATAACCTTCCCAAACCTGCCAGTGGCTTGAACTGTGACTTTGTCTACAGGGATGGGGGCTGTTGGGTTGGGGAGGCTGGAAGTAGTCAGCATTTTCCTTTTTATATTAATTTTCCCATATTCTGTGTATAGTTCTTTTTGAGAGCATAGTGATACAATATCTCATTAGTCTTTTTTATTACTTCCCAAATCTGGGCCCTACTCCCTCTGCCACCTCCCCTAAACCAAAAGCAAGTTCTGTGCTAATGAGGATGGGGATTATTTCTAGGTCACAGCCCATGAGCTGGGAAAGGTGGCAGTGCTCTTGGGAGGAACAGCAGTGGCCCCAGGCTTCAAGTGGAAGCCAGCAGAGCCCCAACTAATGGGTGTGTTCCAGAAAGAATGTTGCTGTACTTACCAGGTACTACAGGAACTGCTGGGCTGGCATACTCACAAAGAAATCCAGCCTGTATATAACAGAGGTAAGGAGCTTCATAATATTTCTCCTTGGAGCTGTGATAGCAGTTGGCTCAACTAGAATGGTGTGCAGTGATGACGAACCTTTTAAGCTTTCAGAGATAACAGCCCACTGCAGCTGCCATAGGTTCGCCACCTCCTGTGTAGGAGATTTGCAGGTGACCGTTATGCTTCCTGGGTGGGAATGTAGCAGGTAGCTAAAGGTTGGAGTTGGTTTGAGTTGCAACAATTATCCAAGAGACAGAACCCTGATATTTACACCATGATCTTTGCTCCATAGAAATATGAGAGGAAAGGACAATGGAACATGGACACGTGGGGCCCTCATACTTTTGTAAGTGGCAGGAGAAATTTAGAGCAGGAATGTGCTGTCAAGTGGCAGAATGTGAAGAATATGATGTACCAAGAAAAAATAAGATAAGATAAAAATCTCCTGTATTTATTACTGTACACCAGAGGACCCAAATCCCTTCATTTTCAAATACCGCTAATTCTTGTCCAGCTTAATGAATAATTTGTGTGATTTAATATATTTTATAGATTTTCTTTTATTAATTTACCTCATGAAATCTGGAGAAATAGTAATCTGGAGGACTGGCTCCAGGAGTGGTGGACATATGCTTTCTATTTCCCGTGAGAGGACCACTTCTGGACATCAATCATGTGTTTGTCCCAGTGATCCATCTTTACCAAAGGTGTCCTGATATTATGTATTTTAGAAATCAGTTTAGGATGTTCATAAACAGAAAAGAGAAATTTTCTCTGGCTCTTTTCCACCCACAGCTGTGCACACTCCACAGATTTTAGGCCTTTCTGGGCAGAAAAGCACCACACACTGGAAGATGGCATCTGAGCTCATCTTGCCTGAGTCCCAGGTGAGCTGTACTTTCTAGCTTTTTCAGGTGGCCCTGTTTCTGCTCTTCCCTGCTGCCTATTACTTGTTCTGCCCTGCAGATATTCTACAGTGTCCTAGCCCCAATTATTCTCCAGGAAACTCGTGAATGGGAATTAGATACCTCCCAGGCCGTTTACTGATCTGCTTGGCTCCTTCCTTTCTGCCATCTCACTCCCCCACCCCAAATCTTGTACTGTTAATTTCTTCGGCATCTGTCCTACCATATAATTCAGAAATGGGTGATTAGCAGTCTTCTGCGGTGGCAGGTACTAAACTAAAACCCATTCCCTTCTTTAGAGTCTGTTGACATTTGAAGATGTGGCCGTGTATTTTTCTGAAGAAGAATGGCAGTTACTGGACCCTAATCAGAAGGCTCTCTACAATGATGTAATGCAGGATACCTATGAGACTGCCTCCTTTCTAGGTAAAGATTTTTCCTTCTCTTTGTGTACAAGTTGAGTAATATGTTGTGTTCTCAGGTTATGGAAATTGCACCCCTCCGTTCCAGCAGCTGGTTGTTCTCAGCCTGATAATGTGGGGGAAAGGGGAAGTATATCCAGATAATTTTTAATAAATATGCATGTGTCGCTTCCTTATTCTAAATAGAATTGATCCGTCACACCCTGGCTCTCACTCTGTAAACTTGCTTTTGCCTTATCTTTTCCATCGCAGTAAAGGGTACAAGCGTTTACCCAGCTGCTCAGGCCAGAAACCTCAGTCACCCTGTACAACAGTCTTTCTCTTATACTCCACAGCTCATCTATCAGCACATCTTCTTCACTCTGTCTTCACAATATATCCTGAATCCAACCATATCCCAGCCTCTTCCAATTTCGATACCCTAGTCTAAGCCACTCTACTCTCTAATCGAGTCTGTCTTCAGTAACACTGGATTCCCATTCCACATATCATTTGTGCCTGTCTTCCTTAGGCTTACTGCCTAACTTCCTCATTTCATATTCACCCATGTCCGCAGTGGAGTATAAATAAGTTATTGATCCAAGACTTTGCCCAGTTAAACATTTGGAAATTTAAAAAGAATAAAAGTCAGTTACTCTTCCTGAAAATAATATGGAATTAAAACGTCAGTATATGACTTCAAAATTTTATTCTCAAAGCATTATTGCTGCACTTTAAAGTTAAAGTGATCTATTTGGAGCAAGGAGAAGAACCATAAATCCAAAGTCTCCAAGAATTCACGGACAGTCTTAGCGATTTCCTATAGGTAAGTATATGCATGAGAAAAGGAGAAATGTTTTTGGATAGAAACCTTTACTTGACTTTAACGTTTTAAGATTCTGTTCCTGTATTTTTAATTAAAGTTTTTATTGAGGACATTTTAGATTCACACGCAGATTAAAATGTAATATACAGAAAACCTATGTACACATCACTCAGTTTCCTGTAATAACTTTTGCAAAAGTACTATATTACAAGCAGATACTGCTACTGATGTAACCTACTGATCTTATTCACATTTCCTCAGTTTTACTTGAATTAATTTGTGTGCGTGTGTGTGTGTGTGTGTGTGTGTGTATTAGTTCTATATGCTCCCCCCACACCCCGTACCAGGGATCGAACTGAGGACCTTGCGCTTGAGAGGCGGGGGCAGTGCCACTGAGCTAAATCCCAGGCTCAGTTCTATATGCCTCTATCACATGTAGATTTGTGCATTCACCACTGTAGTCAGGATATAATCAAAATCCATTACCATATGGATCCCTCTATTGCCTTTTTATATTAGAACCTACTTTCCTATCACATCACAGTAAGTCATACCATTAATATGTTTTACATTTTAAAATTTTGCTATTTGAAAAATTTTATATGGGTAGAATTATAAAATATGTAGCTTTTTCAAATTTATAGTTCCCTGGAAATTCATTTAAGTTGTTGCATATATCAACACTTCATTTCTTTCTAATTGTTGAGTAGCATTCCCTATCACTGTTTAAACATTCACTCACTGAAAGATATCTGGCTTGGGCTGGGGTTGTAACTCAGTGGCACCGCACTTGCCTTGCAAGAGCAAGGTCCTGAGTTGGATCCCCTGTACCGGAAAAAAAAAAAAAAAAAAAAAAAAAAAAGATATGTGGCTCTATCTTTTGGCTATTTGAATATAGCTGCTAATACATTTATGTACAGGTTTGTCTGTAAGGTTGAATTTGTCTGGGGTAAGTATTTCAAGGGTACAATTGCTGGTTCATATGATAATTACATGTTTAATTTATAGGAAATCACCAAACTGTTTTCCATATGGCTGTAGCATTACACTCCCTCTAACAATATATGAGCAATTCAGTTTTTCTAAATCTTTGCTTAGTGTCAGTATGTTTTATACTTTTAGCCATTCTGATAGGTGTGTAGTGATACCACATTATGGTTTTGATTTGCATTTCCCTGTTGTTAAAGATGTTTTATATCTTTTCATGTACTTATTTGCCATCTCTGTATCCTCTTCACTGAAATACCTTTTGCCCATATTTTATTTGGACTTTTCAACTACCGAGTTTGAGTGTTCTTTGTATTCTAGATTCCAATACTTTGTCCGTTGTATGGTTTACTGTCAGTTTCTTGCCGTGGTTTTCCATAGAGTAAAGTTTTCATTTTTATGAGGACCAGTTTTTTTCTATTATACATCGTGAGTTTGGTGTCAAGTCTAGAACTCTGATTAGCTTTGCCCTAGATCCCTATGATTTTCTTCTAAAACTTTTATATAGTTTTTATGTTTTACATTTAACTCCATGATCCATTTTGATTTAATTTTATATAAGGTATGATGAGGTTTAGGTTGGGGTTCTTTTTGCCTGTGGAATTCCAATTGCTTTAACATCATTTGTCATTTGTTGAATTGCTCCATTGAACTATTTTTGTGCTTTTTAGCAAGGATAAGTTGGGCATGTTTGTGTATTTCTAAACTATTCCATTGAGCTATATGTCTCCCTTTCTGAATATTACACTCTCTTGATTATTGCAGTGATATCATAATCCTTAATAGCTGTTGAGCAGAGTGATTTCCCCTATTTTATTCTCCTTTTAGCCATGGTAGGGCCAGTGCCTTTCTACATAAATTTTAGAGTTAGCTTCTAAACTAAACTTTGTTTAGATTTTTGTCTGAAATTACATTAAACCTATACACATCAATTTGAAGATTGATGCCTAATTAGTTAGGTCTTCTTTGATGTTTTTCATCAGCTTTTTATAATTTTCATTTTATATATACTCTACAGTTTTAAACTATATGTCTAAGATTTTCATTTTCTTTGGAATAATCATAAATGATGCTATTTTAAATTTTGCTTTATGCATATTTACTGTTTTTGTACAGAAATGCCATGGATCTTGTATCTTGTGACTATCCTGAATTTGTTTAGTAATTTCTAAGTCTTTTTATTTGTAGATTTCATGGGATTTCCTACATAGGCAATTATACAATCAAGAATGCTTCTTATTTCTTTTACTTGCCTTATTACACCAGATCTAACTTCTAGTACTATATTCAATTAAAGTGACAAGAGAAGACTTCCTTGCCTTGTTCTCAGTTTTAGCATGAAAACATTCAGTCTTTTATCATTGCCTGTGTTGTTAGCACTGGGCTTTTTATTGAGATTCTTTATCAACTTGATATAATTCCTAACTTTATGAATTTTTATCATGAATGGATGTGGGACTTTGTAAAATAATTTTTCTATGTCAATTCATAGCAGCATATTCTGTTCCTTCTTTAGTTTGTTGAAATGGTGGATTATGCTTATTTTCAGATGATGAACAAGACTTGTACACATGTAATAAACTCTTGTTATAGTATATAATTCAGTTGCATTAAGTTAATTAAAAATTTGTTGTCAATTTTTGTATTTAAATTTGTAGGAGATGCTAGCCTATAATTTTATTTTTAGTACTGTCTGTATGGTTTTGGTATCAGCATAATACTGGTCTTATAAAATGAATTGGGTAGTGTTTCCTTTTCTTTTCTGGAAGAGATTATAAATAATTGTTGTTAATTCTTTTTTTTTCTCATTGAGTTTATTGGTATATTTTAGGTATACAGTACAGTTACATCCATTATTGGGATCTTGTACCTTTACATGAGAGGTCTTGGTTCTCATTTTTTCCCTTTGTCCCTGCCCTCCCTTCGCCCCTTGTTGTTAATTCTTTACCTATTTGGTAGAATCCTCCAGAGGCACCATTTGGACCTAGAGTGCTTTTTTAGGGGGAGATTTTAAATTATGAATTATTTTTAATGGTCTTACTGCTCTTCAGGTTGTCTCTTTCATATTGGTTGCATTCTGGTAGTTGTCAAGGAATTGTTCTATTACTAACTTTTTAAATTCATAAACATCAAGTTCAGAGTACAACGCTACCTTGGTTTACAAACTTAATTTGTTTTATGATTTTGAGGAAGATGGCTGTAGTTGTGCTTGTCACCTGATGCAGGGTTTGTGAATGTAAGCAAAATTTTGCCAAACACTTAAATTTGTGAACTGAATTGCTTGCAAACAGAAGCATTCATGAACCAAGGTATTACTATCCTCACTTATTATATTTTAATTGCTGCAGAGTATGTAGTGATATACTCCCCTCCATGCCTCCCTATCTTTCTTTCTGTCTTTTATCTTGCTTTATGATGAGGCTTCACTATTTTACTCAGGTGGCCTTGAACTGGTGATTCTCCTGGATCAGCCTCTTTAATAGCTGGGACTATAGGCTACGGCATTCTTGATATTGGTGATCTGTTTTGTTTGACTGTGATTTCTGCTCTTATTTTTTTTTTATTTCTCCCTTTCAGCCTGCTTTGGATTTATTTTCCTTTTTGTATAATTTCTTGAAGTAGGAACTTAGAAGACTGATTTGAGACCTTTCCTTTTTTACTATTGTGAGCACTTACAGCTACAGATTTTCCTCTGATAACACTTAACTGGGTTTTGTATATTTTGTTATACTTTCTTGTCATTCAATTCTATTTTAAATTTTCCTTCGAACTGTGGATTACTTAGAAATGGGTTTTTTATTTACATATGTATTTAGATTTCCCATTTTTGTTTTTGATTTCTAGTTTGATTATATTTTCTGTCAGAATTGTCTTTCTCACTGAAGTGATTGTTTTGGTTCTTTGATGAATACTTTTTTCATTGCATCCTAATTCTTGTGTATATTACATTAAAAGTCTGCATCATATCAAATATTTTATTTTAAATGCTTAAATTAAATATTTACTGATACAAACTAAATGTTGGCGTGCAAAGTCTTCTGACTTTTATGGAATATGCTTCCAATGACAGTTTTAACTTTCAGAACTTTTGTGACATTAACTTTGGTTTATATGGTACAGCTAGGGCTCCCATGGGTCCCAGCTGGTGTTGCCTGAGGTGTAGAAGGCGTTTCCCTTGACCAGGGTGTCTCTCAGAGGTGAAGGGGAATTAAGACCCATAGAGATGAAGAGGCTTCCTAAGCCAGGCCACTTGTGTCTGCTTCACTCTTACTAGCTGTGCTCCTTCCCTCTAGATCTCTTGTTGAAGGGAGGAAGTCTCACGTCTATGATGTTAAAGAGGCTTCCAATTTTCATTGATTTGGCTGAATGTTTCTTGCTAGTTCTGCTTGTATATCTTGATCTGTTTCAACTAGGGTTGGGGAAACTCTCCAGCCCAGTATGGAAGGCAGGTATCTCTCCTGGCTGTGTACTGTTGACCGATTCCAGGTTTGTCCCCTTGTATCTGGTCTGCCAGTTGTATCTGGTTTGCCTGATGTTGTCAGAAGTTTTCCCAGTCAGGCTGTGGAAGGAATAAGAATCCCTGGATCTGAGTTAACTTCGTATGCTGGATGTTGGGGTATAAAATATCCTGCTGTGTCATTTTTCCATTTCTGATATCCCAAATGAGTTTGCATTCTTCTCAATTTTTAGAATTCTCTTTTGGTTATTTATGCATTATTTAATGGGTTTGTTGTTGTGCCTTGAAGGGAGGCTCAGGGAGCGATAGATTTATGCCATTTTGTCAGACTAAACCAAAGTCACTTGTTTGCTGTATTTTAAAAAGCAGTCATTATTGCTATTTCTCTCTATTCGTGTAGTTTCACAGTATGGGAAACAGATGTTTGATTCTTCTATTTGTTCTAACAGGGTTAAAGCTCAAAAATGACACCAGAAATGATCAGCCTAAATCTGTTTCTGCATCAGAAATACAAGCACCAGAACGCAAAGTATCAACGAAGACCAGAATGAAAGTTGCCCAGAAAACAGCAGCCAAGGAAAATCATGGTGATACATGCAGGGTAGAGAAACACAGTCGAGGTTTTCCAACAAAAAAGAGAAAGAAACTTTCAACTTGTAAACAAAAGCTTCCAAAACTTAGGGATCTTCACAGGAAGGGTCACACAGGGGAGAGACCATTTAAGTGTCAGGAATGTGGGAAAAGCTTCAGAGTTAGCTCTGACCTTATTAAGCACCAGAGAATTCACACTGAAGAGAAGCCCTATAAATGTCAACAATGTGATAGGAGGTTTAGATGGAGTTCAGATCTTAATAAGCACTTCATGGCACATCAGGGAATAAAACCTTATAGATGCTCATGGTGTGGGAAAAGCTTCAGTCACAACACAAATCTCCACACACACCAAAGAATTCACACAGGAGAGAAGCCTTTTAAGTGTCATGAATGTGGAAAAAGATTTATTCAGAACTCCCACCTTATTAAACACCAGAGAACCCACACAGGTGAGCAGCCTTATACTTGTAGCATGTGCAATAGAAACTTTAGCAGACGGTCAAGCCTTCTTAGACACCAGAAACTGCACAGAAGAAGGGAAGCATGTCCAGTACCTCCAGTCTGAGGAAAGTTACCATATAGAATAACAGAGCTAGTAAAAGATTATAAAATTGTGAGGTGCTCAATAATAGGAATATGTTATCCACAGAAATTTGGAATAGATAATGTGTCCTGCAGCACAGAAATAAACTTATGCTGTCTATTTATTCAGCATTGTATCTTTGGTGCTTAGCGTAAGACCGATACATAAATTATTTACAAGTAAAAGAATGAAAATGTAAATATAGCTCTTTGTTTATATGTATTCATCTGATTATTCAGAGCTTACACCCTCAGTGTTATAAGTTTTTCGGGTATTAGGTGCTGGGTAAATGTGTGATGGGCATGGATCCTGCTCATGCTTCAGTTTTTCTCGGGTGAGATGGAAAATACGGGTAGACAAGGTCATCTGAAGAATTACTAAGATTGGGACAGTCTCAGTGGTTATGATTCTATCCGTACTGACAGCCAAGCCCAGGTCTCAGGGAACTTTATCCTGGGACAGAAAGAGAATTACATGTTTGCCCTGGTGGAAGTATCTAATCTTCTCAATACAGGCTTATAGAATGAAATGATAAGGGACATGGTCTGGGTCCTCATCCAGGTTTCTTTTTGTGGAAAGCACAAGGCGGTGGTGAATGGCTTTTGTGGATTTTGATTATGTGCACAAGAAGCTTTTAAATTGGTGTGTACTGCTCCAGGGCCTAGAGAAAGATACATTTTTTTGACTGCTCAATTATCCATATACCTGAATGCTCTGCTGGAAAGTGAGCATTTAGTTTACTGAAAATGGCAAGGAATGCCCTGGGGCTTCTTAGCCTTGGTGCACATTTGATACCAGGAGGAAATATCTAGAAATACCTTAACAAAGTAAGGCATGTGCCTTAGGATTATGGTCTCAGTTGGAACCACGCCAGATGGGAACTTTGCTGATGTTTTTTCTTCCTTCTCAGTTGATTACCTTTTAGCTAAAGAGTGTGCTATCAATAAAAGTTGGAAGGCATGGATTTATAACTGTCAGAACCTGGTTTATGATACTGACCAAGGCTTCTGAATATTTATTTAGTATTTCATAAAATTTTACTTTCTAATGAAAACGGCACATTTCACATTAAATTTAAGCAAACAAAACTCCTTTGATTCTAAAACATCCAGAAGTTGCCAGTGTTCAATTATTTAGATTAGACGTTTTCAGATATATTTCTAGGAAGAGATCATTCGGAGCTTGTTTTCCAATTTGTAAAATTGGGATAGTGATTTTTACCTCTTAGGGCTGCTATAAATTTTCCATAAACACTTGGAACATTCTGCCTTCATCTTTCACCTAGTTAATTAGAAAATAAAATAAACTTTGTGTGCTTGTTCAGCTTTTCCACGTACCTAATGAGTTTTTCATCTTTTCCAGCTGGTTTTTAGGATGGTCAGAGGGATACCCTTCTGGTGTGATGTTCCATTCGAGACATGCTCCTCTATAATCAGCATTAAACAACAAGCTGATGTCCCAGTTCAGCTACATACACTGCTTTTAACAGAACCAAAATATACTAGCAACCCTTGATTTGAGATGCCTGAAAATGGAGGGGAAATGATAGCTAGGGGTAGAAATTTTTTAGACAATATATATGCTATTAGGCACATTCTCAGTCTAATGAAAGGGCTACTGAAAAGAGTGGAAGAGGTTAGAGGCTATAAAAAATGGCTACTAAAAAAATAATGAAAGAGCTAAACCAAGAGGAAGAAGTGTCCCAGGAGAAAAGGATCGCATTATACTTCCAGAGGCTTGAAGATGGACACCCCACCCCCACCTCTTCCAGAACGGAGGTTGTGCCCTTGGAACTAAGAAGGGAAAATTTAACTTCCTGTAGAGGACTCCACTCTCTTGGTGTGGATCCACATATATTTGCGTTCTATATGTGTATTATCCTACCACAATTCAAAGCACATTCATTTATTAATGCAGCTTTTGGAAAGGATTAACTCAAAAATCAAAATACTACAACAGTGGAGCTAGTAGTTACTGCCACTCATGATATTCATCTACAACCCTGAAAGTGGGTCAGCAGAAAGGACAACCCATTTTCACAAACCCTGCTATAATACTTTTGTCTTGAAAGCTCATCTTGGAGGTCTTCATGTATACTGGCATAATTTTCATGAATTATGATCATGAGTAGGGAACATGGATCCAGTCTTGAGAGAGAAATGATTTTAAGGCAAGTGATAGGAAGTGATTAGATTTAGATGTTCCTGGGGAGAAATAGGATGAGAACTGAGGTCACTATTTAAATAGAGGCTCCAGGAGGAAAGACATTTTCACTGTAAAGTTGTGGAACAGGATTTAGAATTCAGGGATCCTGGCTGACTCATCAGAATCTACTCTTCTCTTTCAGCCCTCTGACAGTCTTCCAGGGCCCCATTCCTCATGTATATCTTACTGTCTTATGAAGCCTTCACTATCTTAGAAAAAGAAGGAAACATGCATCTGTGGAGATATAGACACTAAGGAATAAGATGGTGGGGTGAGATAAAGGGAGAGAGATTAATTTACTTTCCACCTCTGACACCTCCCCACCATATGGCTAAGAGATGTGAACTCCATGGCCTTTCTGAGGACACAATAGGAAAACAGTATGCAAAAGCTCAGGGGCTAGAGGAGTAAACAATTCATTCAGGGGACAGAGTAAAGAAATGTGTGCTCCAACTCCAGATCACCTATGCAGAGACTGAATCAAGGAAGTAAAAGCTTACTTGAACCAGATGTGAGGGATGTGGGTTCATATTCCAACATCTCTGCTCCAGGAAGATAGGACGAGGAAGAGCAAAAGAGTACTTTTCCACTCAGCTGTACATTTGTAAGGCGTGAGGTTGGATGACAAGGGCTTAGGGAGCAGAATACTACTGTTTGCTGTAGCTGAGGGACAAGAGCATATTGGTGGGTTAAAGCCTGCTCATACCTGACACTCTCCCTTCCAGCAAATAGTGTTGTGGCATTTACCCATGGCTCTGTTTCAGTCCCTTCCAACTCATCTCTCCCTTTTCCTCCTTCACTTCCTTGTTCCCTCTGTTACCAGATTTTGGGGTGCAGGAGTCTCCTATAGAAGTGATTTCTAGGTTTGTTCTGTCTTGAACAAAGAATTAAATGAAACAAGCATAAATAGTGGCAAATTTTCACATTTATTAAAGGTAGGAAAAAACAGAAGGGTGGGGGATAAATGGGCTCTACTGATCAAGAGTGGGCCAACTAAAAGGAACAAGGGAGGAAAAAAATATATATCCTACATCATAGGATGGGCTACCAGAAGAGAAATGATAGTGAGTGCTTAAGGGCAACTGTCCCTTTTTTATATTTCCCACTCTGGCATCACATCAGGTCGTCCTATCAAAAACCTGCTTGAGTTCTCACAAGTTCACATGCAGGGCTCTGAGAATTGTTCATACACATGTCTCCCAGGGATTTTGCCATGCCTCCTTTCCCAGCCAGTTTTAGCCACACCCTGTCTTTCTGCCTCACCTCTGCCACATTCCAAGCCTGATGCTGCCATTTTGCCAGTTGCATTCCCTCTGAGCAGGAAAGGAGGAGATACTCATGAACAGGGTTCAATGAGTGTTACTGTGTTCTCTTTCCCAGAAGAATGAACATAAGAACTAAGCATGGGTAGGTGGGTTTGGGGAGGAGAAAAAGGAACAAAATGGAATCGTGATCTAATTTTTATCAAGAGATGTAAATGTTTTCCTTGCTTGCTAGCTCCTCTCTTTTCTTAAAATACATTAAATGGCAGGTAGGTGGGCATAGTTATGACTATGTTGAGAAGAAAGTTGCTTCTAATTAGAAAACTCCATACAAAAGTCCAGTTCCTGGTTTATCATTGATATGCAGTCACTGCTAAGACCTCCCATTCTGCTTTTTGTCCCCCCCACCCCGTGCTACCTGCTCTTTACTACCATTATGGGTTCAGGCAAGTGAAAAAGCTATGGAAAACGGTACATGGATTCAGAAACTTTCAGGGATCAGCAACCATGAACACGTGTAGAGAGAGGGGAGGAGCCATGATTGAGAGGAGTATAGGAGACGTGGCCTTTTGATATGGGCATCCTAGAGAGAGGAGGGAAGAAAAGAGAGCAGGCGAGCTTCTAGAAGCAGTTCTGTTCCAGATCTGGATTTAGGGACTTAGTTAAGAGGAAGAGCTAAGTAGGCAACACCATGAAAGTTTTCTTCTGTGCCTTCTCAAGCTCTGAGTAACCGTGAAATTTGAGGTGGCAAAAAGGAACTCTCTCCCACTTAAGGGCTGCAGCAGACTCCTCAGAGGAAATCTGAGTTCAATAGCATAAGCTAAGTGGGTTGTCTCTTCAGGTAGTGCCCCCTTATCTACCGATCCTCAGGCCTTGGGGGGAGCTTCAGCTGCCATAAAGGGAGTGCTTCTGATTTTTTTTTCTTTACCTTATGCCTCATTCTATTTTAAGAGAAAGGATTGTAAGGATCTTATTTAATGGCATCCCCCATGTTGGAAGCTGATGCAGGTGATCTCTTGTGCTATGGCTTGTATTCTAGATGTCCCACCAAAGCCTCATGCACTCATAGATGGGGCTTTTCAGAGGTGGCCAGATCTAGGGTGTGTGAATGTGGATTAAGGATGTGTGAATATGGATTAAGGGTGTGATAACTAAATTATCCCATTGATTGGTTAGTTTTGTTCTAGGTGTTAGTAATGGAAAGCCCCACCCTGGGTGTGGGTGGCATTAACCATTAGGTTTATAGTTTGAATGGAATAAAAAGAAAAAATAAGGAAGGCAGGCTTCTGTTGCTGCTTTCTGCCTGCCCTGACATGAACTGTTTTTCCTCTGCCATGCCTCTCTGCCACACTACCTTGCCTTGGAGCCAGCTGACTATGGACTGAACCCTCTACAAACTATAAGCCAAAATAAATCTTTCCTCCTTTAACTTTGAGTGTCATGTATTTTGTCCCAGCAACGAGAAGAGACATCTTGGCTGTCTCTTATAAAGCCAGGCATCCCTTCTTAGGACAGTCTATCATGTCCATGCAGAGGTAGACTCTTCTCAAAATGTCTCAGCTTCACATTTCTGTGGTACATATTCGTTAATTTTCCCAACTCTTTCACCTATCTTCCATGCTGAGTCAGACTGTTACTGTCTTTTATTCATTTCTCAAACCTCCAGTATTGCCTCCTGACCTATCCCAATCATTCCTCCAACTTCATGTTCCCATTTCCTCCTTTTAGTGCCCCCAAACTCACTCCACATTGTCCTCAGAATAGCATTTAAAACCCAGATTATGTTTGAACACCAATTTTTCTGGTCCTCACCCCAAGAGTCTCAACTTCAGTTGGTGTGTAGAGCTAAATATTTAGCATTTCTAAAAGTTCTTCTATGTACTGATGCTCCGGCAGCCCCTTGGTGGGAACGACTGTCTCTTGTGTCCTTTCTGCAGAGGGCAGCACCAGCCTTAGAAGTCAAGTAACTATCAAAGACAGGCGAGGGGCTTTATATCTACATAAACTTGGAGCATACAAGCCCCATGACTTTAGTGTTAAAGGTGAATTTAATTTCGACCTAATTCTCATCCACTTGGCAATTAGTTCATTACTTTTTCAGAGCAAACACAAAATCTCCATGTGTTCATTCCCTCAGTTTTGAGGCTCACAGTGTCTGTCTCCCTAATCTTGTCCCGTTCCTGTCTCCAGAGCTGCCAACATATTTGGTACCTCTAATACAGTCTGAGTAATGGGCCTATACAAATTCTGGTCTCCTTGGGAAGGAAGCTTAGGAAACTCTCCTGCAGCAGCATCCTTGCCATTTGGCACCTCAACCATGAAGTTGGCTCCATTGAGGGGACTTCAAATCTAGCATTCTCAGTGGTAAAAAATCAACAAAACTCCTAGGAAACTTCTCTATGTCTCCCCAACTATCCAAATTGCTGGCAGGCCTTTTTTGACTCAGCCTGCCTGGCATGCTATTCCTTCTGGGAACTCACCATGGAAGAGGTCAGGGAAACCTGAAAGGATGCAATAAGGAAGTGCAGGGGCCTGGTTTGTCTTTCTCTGAGCACTGCTAACTTACCTCATTCTGGAGATTGGCAGTGGTGCACTGGACAGTAAGTGCTATGAGGAATAAATTGCTCTGGCTTGTTCAAAGTCTTCGAAAATGTGAAGGTCCCCTCCAACAGCTCTGAATGCATCATTACCTCTGAAGATCCCCAATCCCCGTAT